AAGAATGTACGTTTGCAGTATCCGAGAACTCTTATTATTAAATTTTGGAAGTAAATAAACTTTGCTGCCCATTTTGTCGCCAATCTATCCTCTGACATCATGCAACCCTCACCTCATTTATATCAAATATCTCAATTTCTGGTAAAGATAGTTTAAGATAGACAGGTATTTCATTTCTTTAAAAAGCAAGGCAAATGCACAAGCTGTAATAAGATGATACCAATAACTCTATAGGCCAAAAAAAATCATGCTGCACTTATAATATGACCTTATTGTGTTGCAAGTGCCGTAAAACCCTTCATATCCCCGGGGTTTTATGCACCCCGCATAATTTAGCAAAATTTGATAATTTTTTAAATCATAATTTCTGATTATTTTCCTTTATCATTCTTTGTTTAAAATTAACAGAATGGCATAACTTCAGATTGTTGGGCCCAGTTTGCATAATTTCAGAATTTTTTGTGTGCATAAAACCACGGGGACAGCCTTACTAAAACTAAACTAAGCAAAAAAAAATTTTTTTTAAATGACGAGCGCCTGATTCCACCGCGTCGTGACACATTTTTTGAGCGGCGTCGGGTTCCTCCGGAGTTAAGTACGCGGGCAAAAAAATGTTAAGTGGTAAAAAGTGATGTGGACGAGTAGTAGTACTATGCATGTAGTACTTAACTGGGATGACTTCTTCGGCGTTGAAGTAGACAGTTATACGTGGGCGGTTTGGTGGGTGGGGTGGGTGGGTGGGTGCTCTAGTGTCGTTTGGTCCTTCTTTCCCATCGCACGTCTATTGTCTTTATTATTATTACCTCTTTCTTATCTTTGTATGTTACTTTCTTTTTTCTTTTATTTAGTAGGTTTTACGGCGCTCGCAACTGTATAAAAGAGGTCATATGAGCGCCAAGTGTTATTTTCTAATATCACTACTAATCTTCGGTACTTGTAAGACCTATTTGTGCTGCAAGCACCGAGAACGTTTTGTAAAACTGACCTAAATAAGACAATTAATTGTAAGGTTTTTTTAACTTTCCCTTAGCAGGAGAGAGAG